CTGTGAAAATCCAAGCTTTCACCTCTGCTTTGCTTGGATTTGCCTTTGTGCTCTATTTCTTTTTCGCTCGTTTTTTTTTTTGTCAGGCTAGGCTCGATCAAGACTGATGACCGCATCAATTCAGGTTTGGACCACTCATCTCCTTTTTTCTTTTAGGAAAAGTTGGCCTCGTAGTCACACTCCTAGTGGTATGTGTTTTTAGTATCTAGTAGTCACATTCTAGCCTATTTATCATAAGAAGAATTAGGGGTGGGAAAAAAAACCAAACCAAACTGAACCAATTGAACCAATTGAACCAATTGAACCAATCGAACTTAAACCAAACTGAACTGATCTATTTTTAATATATAATCCGTTTGGTTGAAGTTTTTCACAATCCGAAAGGTTCGGTTCAGTTTGGTTTTAAACCGAACAAAACCAAAAAATTAATACACTTATTTTATTTAACTTTTTAGTTAGTTCATAATATTAGTTTTTTGAAATATGGTGAAATGTGAAATTTTACCTAAACCAACGCACCATTCTTTTCTTCAAACTGAATTTTTTAAAACTGAACTAAAACTAAACCAAACTAAAACCAAATCGAATTAAACCAAACAGAATTCAAACCAAACCAAACTTATTTCAATTGAATTTGGTTAGAATTTTATTGAACCCAAATTAATCAAACCGAACCAAACTCAAACCTAACCCGAAAATAAACCAAAGTGCCCACCCTAAGAAGAATTATTTATCCTAAACAAAACTTATATGCTATAAATTTGAAAATCTGTTTGTAAACGTTATGGTTAATCAGACTGTTTTGCTGTCACCATTATTCTCTACTTCTTTAACTTGTCGACCTTATTTTAGTTTATGGAAAAAACATGTAAAATCTGACATCATCGGTTAAATGAATTTTATAGATTTAAAAAATCATATAAAAAAAAACTGTCACCGTCAGTCAGTGAAAACAAACATAGATATTTTTAAATTTGGATATGGTTACTGTGACATACATATGGTTTCAATCTTCATAAAACCAACAAACCATAATAAATAAAAAAACTAAACATTTATATCAAAAAAAAAACTAAACCAAACCAAACCAAACTACATATCGTTTTTATATAGTTTTTTGATATATAAATATGATCAACAATAAAACCGAAACATAAACCAAACCTTACGTAAGCGGTTTTCTCAACAAAAAAAAAAACAAACCATACACTGCAATGTCAATCCCTAATTTTTTTTTTATTAGTAAGAAGTTGTAAATCCAGACGTATAACCATATCAAAATCATATCATCTAAATATTTATTTAAGCAAAGAATAGGACATGCATGAATTATTTTTTTAGATGTAATTTTTATGTATATAATTTGATATTTTTCGAATGAAAAAAAAAACTCGTAATTTATATATGCTTAGAAAATAATTAGTTGAGATGGTCTAACCTCATAAAAAAAAAATTAGAATACAATACAACTAGGTGTTTAGCCTGTACTTTGTGTGGGCGTAGATGTTTTGTCAAATAATCAAATTAGTTAAATTATTAAATTTATAACCGAACATATATTTTGAAACCAAACATAAATATAACAACAATATGAAACATACAATCAACCAATAAAAAAAACTAATGACCAAAAATATCTAATAAAGACCCATAATTTTTTCAAAACTATATTAGTTAAAGTAAAACCAAAAACCATTTTGAAAACTATTTTAGTTTCAAAACACTCAATTCTCACTTATTATCTTTATCGATTAGGAATGCAAAGTAAAACATCATTATAAAACTCTAAAAATATTTCATGTACATCAGCATCAACAAAATTATTCTTTTTTAAATCTTATTTACAAATACTCATTTTTTATCCTCCACATAATCATGCAACATTTCTCACATAATTTTTTTGGCCAATAGTCTTGACACCTAGAGTATTCATTTTCTTCTTCTTATTTTTTTTTACTTCATCTACTTTATATTTTTTATCTTTCGATTGACATTTTTCTTTTTATCGTCTTTGATTTTTTTTCACTATATTCGTATTTCCTGAATTTTTCTTTTTTCTTTTTATCAAAATTTTCTCCTCTTCTTCGTGGTCTTCTCCTTCATATTATTTGTGTTTTATATACTTGCTTTACAACAGTTTAACTCTATATTATAATAATATCATAAACTTCAAGTTTTTTCAGAATCAGTCTAACCGCTTTCTTAAATTATCACTTACTAATTAAAAGATTCACAATATATTCTCTTCAGGAATTGAAGAAAGTAAAACACTTTTAGTACCCAAACACAGAAACATTAATAATATTCTTTCTCACACTCATTTTTTTAGCTGAACATTTTTATAAACACTTAGTAGACACATAAAGTAGAAAAGAAAAAAAAACAAATGCAAGTGTCCACTCTTACACATACGCAGAATCTCATGAGAAAACTGTACTATGGTTTCATGGGGCTGTGCAAAAATCACAGTGGCGCAGCACAAGAATCGAAAGAGTAGCTCGATCAAGAGATTTGTTAATCGCTTGAGACCTACGTTCGCTCAATCAAGAGTTTTGGATTAAAACTCTTGAGACCGACTTCCTGCTTCGATGAAGTTAATCAAATCGATACAAGGCAATAAGAGAAAATCCTCTTTGATTAATAAGATATCAAAAGTGTCCTACAATGAAGCCTTAAGCATAGCTTATATAGGCAAAGCCAAAGTCGAAAGTATCTAGAATAAGGAAATATAACTAAATCCTAAAGAGATTAGAAAAAGGAAAATCCACTAATTAAATAAAAGAGTAATAAAGATTATGTTATTAAAAACGAGTTGTCTTGCCGCCATTTAAGAGGATGCTACTGCATCAGGTCCCTCGGGGTCAGAAGGATTCGACCTCGAATCGTTGACGGCATCTGCAGGATCAAACTTGGACAAGTAACGAACATTGAAGACATCAGACGTTGTTATGTCAGGAGGTAGTTCTAGACGATACGCATTGTCATTTATGCGCTCAAGAATCTTCAAAGGGCCAATCTTCTTAGCTCGCAGCTTGTTATAGGCACGAGCAGGCATCCTATCTTTTGTCAACACAGCCCAAACGAGGTCACCAACGTCGAAGACAAGACGACGACGATGCACATCTGCAGCAGCTTTATAACGCAAAGTCGATGCTGTTAAATTGGCTGTTGTCTGCTCGTGAACAGTTGCTATGGCTTCAACAAAAGCGGCTGCATCTCCATGGAGACGTGTGTGATCAGGTAGCGAAGAAAGATCAACAGGGGCTCGAGGGATGATACCATAGACGACCTGAAAAGGACTAAACCCAGAACTTCGGTTGATGGCATGATTGTGAGCAAATTCAGCTTGAGGTAAACGAGTATCCCATGTACGAATTCCATCGCCAACCAGACAACGCAGCAGATTTCCCAAAGAACGATTAACGACTTCTGTTTGGCTATCAGACTGCGGATGATAGGCTGAGCTCATATCAAGACTTGTATTAAGGAGTTTCCAAAGGGAACGCCAAAAATGACCAAGAAAACGTGAATCTCTGTCGGAGACAATAGATGAAGGTAAGCCATGCAAACGATAGATCTCCCCAAAAAAAAAGTAGCAACCTGAACAGCATCCATAGTCTTTTTGCACGGGATAAAATGGACCATTTTGGAAAAACAGTCAACTACCACAAAGATCAAATCAAAACCTCGTTAAGTGCGAGGTAAGCCTAAGACAAAGTCCATACTGATATCCGTCCAAGGCTGAGTGGGTATTGGCAATGGCAAATACAACCCAGCATTGGTTGCGTGGCCTTTAGATTTTTGACAAGTCACACAACGTTCCACAAATCGAGCAACATCCTTGCGCAGAGAAGGCTAAAAATACGAGGTAGAGACTAACTGTAATGTACGGTCACGGCCTATGTGTCCTTCATTATGAAGTTCACTAATCAGCTGAAGACGTAAACTCTCTTCCGGCACACACAAACGATCTCCCCGAAATAAAAACCCATCATGGAACGTATAATTGGTTGAAATACCTGCCTGAGCTTCGTGAAACACCCGACCAAAGAAAGGATCATCAACGTAAAGTTCAGAAAAAGTAGTAAAACCAGGCACAGACGTGTGCAAAACGGAGAGGACAAGCTGACGTCTACTTAAAGCATCCGCAACTTTATTAGAACATTCCGAAGTATGCTTAATGACAAAAGTAAACTGCTGAAGATAAGCGATCCAAGAAGCATGTCGAGAAGAAACCTTTTCTTGACTGTGCAGATGTTTCAAAGCATCATGATCGGTATACAAGACGAACTCCTTATGAAAAAGGTAGTGGCGCCAATGTTTGACAGCCTGCACCACAGCGTAAAACTCAATATCATAAGTGCTGTACCAAGCACGAGCACCAGCCAACTTCTCACTGTAAAAGGCAATTGGTCTGGACCGCTGACTTAAGACTGCACCAATGCCTGATTTTGATGCATCACAATGCAACTCAAAGACCAAGGTAAAATCAGGGAGGGCTAAGATCGGAGCAGAACTAAGCTTGGACTTAATTAACTCAAATGCCTCAGAAGCCTCTAGCGTCCAAGTGAAAGCACCATCTCGGATACAATTAGTGATAGGAGCCATCAAGCTGCTAATTGCGGAACAAAGCGTCGATAGAATGATGCTAATCCATGAAAACTGCACGTCTCATATATTGTTGTTTGAGTTGGCCAAGTCTGAATTGCAGAAACCTTAGAAGGATCCACAGCGAGCCCTTGAGCAGACACAATATAACTGAGAAAGTGTACCTTAGGGGATCCAAATTCACACTTTTTCAATGTGGCGTATAGCTTATCGCGATGTAAAATTAAGAGAACTTCTCGCAGATGTTGGATGTGCTCAGACATTGACAAGCTAAATACCAAGATATCGTCGAAATAAACAACAACGAACTTACCAATGAATGGGCGAAGAGCCTGATTCATGACACGCATGAACGTACTTGGTGCATTAGATAACCCAAAAGGCATGACCATCTATTCGAAAAGACCTTCACGTGTTTTGAAAGCTGTCTTCCATTCATCTCCAGGACGAATACAAATTTGGTGATAGCCACTCTTGAGGTCAAGCTTAGAAAACACTGTCGCAGTACCGATTTGGTCAAACAAATCATCAAGACGGGGAATTGGGAAACGGTAACGTACTGTGATTTTATTGATAGCACGACTATCAACGCACATCCGCCACGAACCATCTTTCTTGGGAATAAGCAATGCCGGAACTGCACATGGACTAAGACTCTCACGAAGAAACCCTTTAGCAACCAGTTCTTCAACTTGTTTGCGCAATTCTTCATGATCCGAGGGACTCATGCGATAATGAGGCCTATTAGGGAGTGAAGCATCGGGAACAAGATCAATACGATGCTGAATATCGCAAAGAGGTGGCAGACCAGGTGGGAGATCACTGGGAAACACGTCAGCGAATTCCTGTAACAACGGGGCAAATGCAGGTGGAACAGGAGGACTTTCGGTAGGTTTAACAGGGACTGAGAGAAAGATAAAGACATAGCCTGCAGTTCGCAATTCTTTCTCAAATGGAGTACGCTGCAGAAGTAAGACAGGGCTTGGAACAGTGGGTGTATGGTCTGGAGAAGATGGCTTTAAAACAAAGGTGCGGTTATTGAAGCGCAAGGTGTAAGTGTTGAGAAATCCGTCATGTATGACACGCCTATCAAATTCCCAAGGTCGACCCAATAAAAGATGGCAGGCGTTCATTGGAACAACATCACAATAAATCTGATCCTTGTAAGCATCATTTATCGAAAACTGGACCAAAGCACGGTGAGTGACAGAAACTTCGTTGCCTTGTTGGAGCCATGCGAGTTTGTAAGGTAACGGGTGTGGTTCGACCATGAGGTTGAGCTTAGGAACAACAGATTCTGCAATCACGTTTTCACAGCTTCCAGAGTCAATAATAAAAGTGCAGACTTTGCCGTTAATTGTACACCAAGAAGAAAACAGTGTCTTGCGTTGGGGAAATTCATCAGGCACCCGCAGAGTAAGACACAAGCGACGGACCATTAAGAAAGATCTGGTGTCTCCCTCCAACTCCTCTGGTTCGCCATCGTCAGCGTCATCATAAACAACTTCCACATCACGGCCTGTATCTTCGATCAGTAATCCCCGACGATAACGCGTTGGGCACGCAGACTGTCGATGACCTGGCTCGCCACAAGAGAAGCATCGAAGGGTGCTCGAGCGGTTAATGCGAGCTGTATCCGCTGGAGGTAAAGTCGAGTCTTTCGAGGTTGGCGTGGAGTCACTCGGCACGGTTGAAACGTTTGAAGAAGATGTCGGACGATTCGAGCGAGAAGAACTCCAAGGAAAGAACTTGTTACGCGTCTGAGCTTCGACCGTGAGGGCTTGCTGCTGAAAAAATTCGGTAGAGTACTCTTCAACAGAGCGATTCCCTTGTCGAAGATGATGTAGTCGCTGGTACATAATTTGGTCATAATTGTATGGGAGGAAGGTTTTGCGCATCTTTGACTTGAGCTTTTCCCAATCCATGATCTTAGGTTTACCCAAACGAGCTCGAGAGAGCTTTAATTGAGTCCACCATGCAGCAGCATGATTGCGAAATCGCATCGCAATGACGGGAACACAACGCTCAAGCGGAACACGCTTGAACTCCAAGATTTCTTCGACGGTGACAATCCAGTCCAATAATTCCTCTGCAAGTTGACCACCATGAAATTCTGGGATTTCCAATTTGAATGCACTTTCCCAGCGATAATCGTCGGCATCACGAACTCTGCCGCGTTGATTACGTAACGCTGCAAATGGGTTTTCCTCAATGTCTGATTCATCATCAGTGTTTTCCACTCGCTCGTCACGCTCTTCCGCTGGTGGTGGCGGTCGCTGTCCTGCAATTGCTTGAATTGCAGTGGTCATAGTACGCATCTGCTCCTGCAGATTGGTGATAGCTTGACGCATCAGCTCTGTCTCGGTTGGAACAACAGTTTTCTTTCCTCTTGGCATCGCGATAGGATCGTAGCAGGGCTCTGATACCAACCTGGCGCAGCACAAGAATCGAAAGAGTAGCTCGATCAAGAGATTTGTTAATCGCTTGAGATCTACGTTCGCTCAATCAAGAGTTTTGGATTAAAACTCTTGAAACCGACTTCCTGCTTCGATGAAGTTAATCAAATTGATACAAGGCAATAAGAGAAAATCTTCTTTGATTAATAAGATATCAAAAGTGTCCTACAATGAAGCCTTAAGCGTAGCTTATATAGGCAAAGCCAAAGTCGAAAGTATCTAGAATAAGGAAATATAACTAAATCCTAAAGAGATTAGAAAAATGAAAATCCACTAATTAAATAAAAGAGTAATAAAGATTATGTTATTAAAAACAAGTTGTCTTGCCGCCATTTAAGAGGATGCTACTGCATCACACAGCCAGTACTTCTGAAGCATCGTTCATCTGAGCATGTCCACCATATGACACTCCAAGTTTAGGTTATTTGATATAAGCAAAAGTTTACTCTGTATTAGTATAAATATTATAAACCGGAGATCAATTCCTTTACCTATTGGAAGAAACTGCTATGTTGTTTCAATATACTCAAATCAAATGTGGGAAATTAAGGAACCACTTTTTTCGTGTTTCACTCGAAGCGGTAGCCTAAAGCAGTAAAAAATTTATACAATGAGCAGATAACACAAGGATCTCCCACGTGATGGTGCTCTAGTGCTGAACTCCTAGAACTCAGCCTGAAACATCTCCAGATTCCATATAGATTAGAGACTTAGATAAAAACAAAAAACTAAACTAAAAAAATACAGCAAATAGAAATATTGACATTGATCATACTCATGAAATGAACCAGCTTTTTAGAATGAGGGCTACCTGTATGATAACATTCAAAAAGAAAGCATACTCACCAACTACTTTAACCACTTCTTGTGAATGGCCTTTATGACTTTCATCTTCTTCAATGCTTAAATGGGATTTCAAATCTTGGCTCTGTGACCTTTTCACCAAGCTTTTCCTGACTTTCACAGTATATAGAGAAATCAGAGACTCCAAATAAGAACTAATAAAGACTTGCAAGAACTTGAGAGTACCTTTGCAGATCTACATTCTCGTCTTTGTATTGATACCTCAAAAGTATCATTCAAAAGACAAAGAAGCAAATTCTGCTGAGCTTTGTTTGGATGCAAAAAAAAAAAAAACAATGTGGTATGATAAACATTAATGCAATAAAGAGATAAAGAGAAAGAGAACTAACATGCAACAGTGGTTTTGAATTTGAATTTTGGAAAAGAAGAGAAACATAGCATGGTTTCAACTCTAAATTGCATCAACATCAGCAAAGTCAATCGAAGTCTCTCCCACCAAACCAGACTTTGTAAATCCCTGGAAAAAGTTAAGAAAACTTATTAGAACACAAACGTCTGAAACTATCTTATACATCACTTCAACTATTTGAATTTTGATATTTTCGTCATTGTAGTTGACAAAATTAGATGATACATTCTGTGATTATAAACCAGACACATTCTAAAACCAGAAACCAAATCGAGATCATAGGAGCCTAAAAGATTTAACAGTCGATCAATAAGTCATAGAATAATTCTCTGATTATAGATCAGACACGTTCTGAAACCAGAAACCAAATCGAGATCATAGGAGCATATTTGACAGCCGATCAATAAGTCATAGAACAATATTCGTTGGCAATCAATCAATCGCAAAGCTGAAATATCAACTCCTCCTCATTCATCATAAATGCAAACCCAAGGTCTGGAAATTAGAAAACAAAACCCTAATTGATTTTATTCTTATAATCTTCATATCTATATATTTTATAAAAAAAAATCAAACTGTGTAATATAACATACACCAACAACACGAACATAAACCCTAATTCTATATGTATTTCAAACCCTAATTCTTCAAGATATACCTCAATCGTTATGCAAGATGGTGCCTCCAAAAACAAAGAATGTATAAAACATTAGATGAATTTATAACTGTATACGAAGTTATAAGCAATCTAAAAAAGAACGTATAAAACATTAGATGAACACTTACAAACTATTTCAAAATAGTTCAAAACACAACAACACAATCGCAAGAGACAAGAAAACACAAAAAATACATATTAAAAAGAAGGACATCAAACAGAAAGGAAAGATAGGAGAAGATGCCACACAGACAAAATAAAATAAAAACAATCGCGAGGAGATAACAACAAAGCGAAACAAACGCAAAGTTACAAAACCGCAAACATGAGAACTAAAAAACCTATATATAGCTCGCCAATCATAAAATGCCCTAAAAATTACCAACTCGAATATTCTCTTCTTCATAGGTCGATGTGTTTTAAACTTAAGTATTTTTGGTAAATATTTTTGAAGTTAATTAATTAAGTATATTTTAAAAAATTATTAAGGGACAAAGGATAATTAACCACCCTCAAACTCATTGAGAGAGCTCAAAAGTTTATTTTTACTTTACTTTTTATGAGAATATTAAAAAAAAATACAGTCAGATTTCATTTAAGAATGAGTCATTAAAAAGAGAGTGTAAAATCTTCAAATCTTTGCCACCGAATTTGAAAAGAACTATAAATTTCAAATAATCCGAGAATCATGTCAAGTGATTGATATGCGACACTTTTGAAAAACGAAGCACTGAAAATAGAAAAAAAGTTCCTTCATTAAGACGAAAGAGACTGAGGTACCCAAAATTTTTTTTTGAAATAACATAACATATGATGGGGTTTTAACAACTCAACATGAACCACAAAGATAACAATTAGCTGACTAAGCAGCATTAGAATACATTCGGTAAGCCTCAAAACAAGGAGGAGAGACCAAAATCATTTGCCGCAATGGGCCTCGTGTGAGATCTTCCACCTTTGATTTATAAATCTATTACTAATAATTTTATATGCCGCTAAAAATGCCCACATATGATTTAAAAGTTTAATTTTATTTATCAACATCAATTTTAAAAATTAAAGAATTTCCAAATTTTAAAATTATATCATTAAAAAAAAATTATATTTATAATAAAAAAATAAAAGTTGAAGCTATATGCCTTTAGAATATCCACATTAGATTTAAAAGATCAATTTTATTAATACACATTAATAACTAAAATTAAAAAATTTCTAAATTATAAAATTACATTGTTAATACAAAACAATATAGAAAAAATTGTTAATTAAAATTATTCTATTATTAATAACAGTTAAATATAAATTATTATCAAGGCATCCTTATCAGTATTTAAAATTTTAATTTTCTTTAATTTGGAAATTTTCCTTAATTTTGAATGTTGATGTGGACCAATAGAATTGCTCTTTTTAATCCTATGTGGATTACTACTAGGTGTACTTTTTGAAAGTATAATTGCCAAAAAGGCACTTTCTGTGAATCAGGTGGACTTATCTTACTTTACTCCCATTTTTGGACTTTTTTGTCCATCTTTCCCTTTTATCTTCTATTTACCTTTTTCCCTTTTAACCTTTTTTCACCCCATAGTAACTCACTCTTTTTGACTTTTCACCAGAAAGAATAATTACATAACCCCAACAAGGAAACGAGACTATTATTCTTCCGACTTTTCTCTCTCGTCTCGGCAAAGAAACGAGACTGTTATTTTTGGTTTCCGACCTATCTATCTCGGCTTGTATAGACTTTTTCCGACCTTCTGCTCTCTGCCGCTGTCGTTTTTCTGCCGTCTATAACAGGTCGCTTTCTGTATTCTGTAATTGTTCAGATATGTAGGCACACTCACTCGTTCTTGGTTTCTTCGATTAGTATAGTAATTTTCCAGCTGTTATTTCGTGAGAATTCAATCTTTTGTGTACCAATTTCTTGTCTAGTGCCTCCATGTGGTTGGATTTTTGCGTCTGAATTTTAACCAAATTAAACACTCCATCCACGTGGATGCTTTTTTGCGGCTGAAGTTATTGTTATATTTTGTATTCTTATAGACAGGAGAAGAGAATGCCGAGTTTGGGTAGTGACACCTCATCTAAAGACCCTGAATAGACTTAAGCTGGGCATATGCTGATGCCGATTATGGTATCCCAAAACGCTGTTTTTGTAGCCGGTACATGAAGCTAGAGTCTCCTACTGACTCGGAAACTGGCCTACCAGGACGCAAGTACTACACTTGTCCAGACTGGTTGAAAGAGGTCATATATGTGTTTGTTTTTGCCGGTTTTGTAGTACACTTGTCCAGACTGGTTTTTAACTTTGCAATCTTCAAAATGTAGGAAAGTGGCCCCCATCTTTGGAAATGGTGGGATGAGGCAGTTACAGAGCAATGTGACAGATTGACCATAAGATTTCAGACGCAAACAGAGAACCTGCGAAGGATTGATAGCATCTAAAAGCATTCGATCCTCGCCTCGAAAGGTGCCTTGAATCCTTGGAGGTAGGTCTTCAGGAAAATTCCTTTGTTGCTGATCTTGTGGTTCTGAAGGAAGAGCTAAGCGTTACGCATAGAGAAGTTGGTATGTTGAAGGAACAATATGCCAGTAGAGGTGAAAGCTATCTGATAATGGCGTCTTTCTGTATTTTATCTCTGATCACATACATTTTTAACTAGCATGACAACGTAGTTCCAACGGCTGCTACATAACTATGTTTGACTTAGCGTTAAGACGCTTAATATTCTCAATTATTCCTTTTCTTGTTTTAATCGTCGCGACATATGTATCCCAAACTCCCAGCTATGATGTTCTCCTCGTTTTTGAGAATCCACGTATGATCTATGTTATGTAACACCCAAGTGTCATCCATATGGTTATTCAAAATGTACTTTTATCCTGAAAATTTCTTCTTCAAGACCAAACTCAATTCAACTATGCCCTATAAATAAAACGAGTTATTGCAATCAGCATGGATTGCTAAAAAATTATAATTTGTCTCACCTACACATTGCATATTCAAATTTGTAATCCCATGTTTTTGATAAGGTTCACATTTGCATGAACTGACGAGACAAATGTGTACAA